CCCCACCCCTTCTCTCTTTCTTTCTTTCTCTTTTTTTCCCTCTTCCCCCTTTCTCTCTCTCTCTCTCTCTCTCTCTCTCTCTCTCTCTCTCTCTCTCTCTCTCTCACTCTCTCTCTCACTCACTCACTCTCACTCATCTGCGCACATGTTTCTCCCTCTCTCTTGGTACGTGTGTTTGCTCATGTAAGAGCTTAAGTGTGTACGCGTGTCTCATATGTGTGTGTGTGTGTGTGTATGTGTGTGTGTTTGTGTGGGTTTGTGTGTGTTTGTGTGTGTGTGTGTGTGTTTGTGTGTGTGTGTGTGTGTGTGTGTATGTGTGTGCGCGTGCGCGCTCGTGCACGTGCACACCTGTGTGTATGTATGAGTGTGATATGTATACGCACACTCAAACGTTTATATATACATTATATATTTTTTATTTATTAAAACTGGAAAGCACCGGATACGCAAGGGAGTGTAAAAAGTTTTCAAGAAACAAAAGTATCGTAATTCCCGTGTATACCCTAGGGATAGATCTTGTTTCAAAATTACGATCCAGAGAAAATGCCAGAGAATAATTTTTTAAAGCCTACTGCTAATCACATATAGATGTTGACTTTGTCATGGAAATATAGCAGTAACAAAGAAATGGTATGGCACAAACATGGGGCTACAAATTCTACAGCATGTGTTTTTGCTGGAGCAAACTTACTTTGAATCTCTCTCCTAATGCGCAAACTACGAACAGAAATATAAACAATATGTTTGATATCTAGAAGACGCACAAAGAAAACATTTGAAAATGGTCATTAAACTTAAGATAGCATGAAGAGAGGTATCAATTTGCTTCATCATGATATCGTTAAATGATATCAGATGCTTTAGACCTCAAACCAAAGAAAGCAGTTATCCTCCTTGGAACGTCAATTAATTTAATTGCTGAACGCAAGTATAATAATGTTATGGGTCCTCTCCTACATGTATTTGGAAAATCATTTCTGTTGAAAATCATTTCTAATCGGAGCCTTAGGAGACCTATTGGCATGGAATCACCCTGTTTCATTTCTGTTTGCTATGTTCGATCGACGGCTGACTCATCTTTATGGCAGGGGCACATTCTAGGTCGTGGTGCGCACCCCCCTCCCCCCTTTTCCAAAAGGACGGA